CTTGGTATGCACCACTCAATGAGCAAAGATACGAGCACATGGTAGATGGTTGGACCAAACCTATGAAAAATAAATTTTGATAAGAAAATTTTGAGATTCTCAATTGGGTTTAGGCATGGAATTTAATCACTTTATTTTGCTAGAGTCCATAGCAAAGGCATGCCCACCTTCATTCCTTTCTTTTTTTAATAAAGTTATGTTTGGTTTTATCATATCTCACATGGGATGAGAGTAGTTAAAGAAACAATACCCATTTCTTTCATTTGTTTGAGCTGTTAATATTAATTAATNCTAGGTTTCTCTATGCTTTGGTAGGCTTAAATTACCTTCTTAACTCTCTTTTGTTGAGTTGTTTTTCTAGAACGTGGTTCCATGGTTGCTACTTGGATGTGTTCGAGCTGCTGAAGTCAAAGTGCTCTTTTGACGTTGAACCTTGACAAGAGCTCAACGGTGACTAGGTGGTCTTGTGGAATGAAGCTAGTTATAGTGGCTTGATGTTTAACCAAAGAGTGAAGATCGAAGTATTGACTAAATAGGGAGTGTTTTGCAACTGTACTTATATTTAACTTTGTATTTGAACACATAAGTATTTCATAGTGATTTGCTTCTTCTGGACTTGGTCCCATAGATGTAGGCAAGTTGTCGAACCATGTAAATGAGTTGTGTTCTTTATGTTCTGTCATGGATGATTTTCATATGTTGATTATCTTTTAAACAACTCATTAAGCACAAAATGAACAAGTAAACCCATTCCGCTTAAGTTTTAACAAACTTGATAATGTTTTAAAACTTTCAACTTGTATGCTAACTTGTCATAAAAATCTCTAAATGGATCTCTTTTATTAGAGATTGGAAATCTAAAAGATAGGTGTATATTTATCAGGGAATCATTTATCAAGTGATATACTGTTCACCATTGGAGAACTTAAAGATTAACATATTCTCAACTTAAGACTCAACAATTTACGTGAACCAATTCCAAAATTATTTGGTGAATTGTTAAGCTTGGAGTTCTTGGATATGTCTAATAATAAACTCTCAGGAGCAATTCATAGGTCTTTGGAGGTACTCTCATATCTCAAATATCTAAATTTTTCGTTCAATTGACTACAAGGAAATATTCTGAGAGGAAGGGCTCTTGCAAACTTCTCAGTCAAATCATTTATGGAAAATCTTGCATTGTGTGGTTCAATATTCCTACCACATGTCCCACCCTACAAATCTACCAATAATTGGAAATCAAGGAATATTTTTCACTAGTAATTGTTTTGGCACTCATGATTGCCCTACTACTAGTTGTTGTGATCTTAATACTCGTGTTGAGAAAATGTCAAAATCAAAGCAAAGAGCTACCGAGTAATGATGTTGGGATCTCACAATGGAGAAGAATTTCTCGCCGTGAACTTGTACAAGCGACTTATACTTCAGTGAAAGTAATAGGTTGCAATAAAGTTGTTTCGCCTTCAACTTGAAGGAGCATTTAAGAGTTTTGATGTTGAATGTGAAATGATATGCATTATTTGCCACCAAAACCTTGCAAAAATCATTAGTTGTTGTTCAAATGAAGATTTTGGAGCATCTATGTAGGAGTACATGCCAAACAGAGGTTGAACATAATGATAGACATTGCATCAGTCTTAGAATATCTCTATTTTGGTTACTCTATCCCAACAGTTCAATGTGATTTGAGGCCTAGCAATGTATAGCTAGATGAAAACATGGTTGCACATTTAAGGGATTTCGGTATTGCAAACCTCTTAGGTGAAAAAGAGTCAATCACACAAACAAAAACCCTTGCCACAATTGGTTATATGGCTCTAGGTTTAATCCAAACTTACTTTTTTTTTTCCTATAAAACCGTCTTTGTTATTAATTTACACTTAACAACAAAACTAAATACAAATGCAAAGTATGGAAGAGAAGGAAAGGTATTGAGAAAAGGCAATGTGTACAGCTAAGGTATTTTGCTGATGGAAACATTTACAAAGAGTGATGAGTTTAAAGCGTTTGATTATTAACTTAATACATAATAAAATAATAGAAGTTGTGGACACCAACCTGCTGAAAAGAGGGGATGAATATTTCGCTACAAAAAAGCAATGTGTGTCATCTATCTTGAGCATGGCGATGGAGTCTACAAGAGAATCACGTGAGATGAGGATTGATATGAAAGAAGTTATGGTTAGACTTGTTAAAATTATAGTCACTTTCCTTGAAGATATTCGAAGGGATGGACGTAGGAAGTGTTTTGTTAAGCCCAACTAACACGACCTTTCCCGACCCTCCCTATCCCACAGGCTCCAAGCGAACTCATGAGACTCAAGTGACCGAGACGCGCCATGTTAAAATCTGTATTTCTGAAATAAACATCATAATACGTTTCCTCATTTCATCATCATAGAACATACACAAATAAATCTTTCACAAAATAAGAAAAAGAAACATATGGTATTAGGTTTTATATACTTTTACAATCCAAATATAACATGAAATGATACATGATGATAAAAAACATAAACTTTTGTGGCAGGAAAATGAAACCGAACAATTACACACTTGGTAAAATGAAGTCGTGTGGCTTAACCTCAAGTGGATTCACTCATCTGCACGATCTTCCTGATGACTTGGAAGGGGGGGCATTTAAAAAGTGAGCTAGAAATACTTGATGAGAGGGGGATTGGAGAAAACATTTCGATATGCAACAAAACATTCATGCTTATAAAATCTCATTTCCCATAAACATATTTTATAAATATGAACGATATCTCATAATCCATACTAAAATCTCTCACCACAACTAGTACCCAGTGGAAAGACCATCCTACCTGGCAAGATCTAACATCGCACGGGTAGAGCCACTAAAATTATCTTGTCGAGCGGAATCATACACTGCTCAAACCTTCAACCCACTTGGCCGACACATTAAATCTTGCCTAGCAAAATCTTACCTCGCTCAAGCCTTCGACCTTATGGCATCTTACATCACTCGGGTCGACGATATAACAAATCATACACATGCTCAAAGTCATAACTAATATAGGGGGATAAGTACTTCGTATGGTGGTTTGAAAACCACTATCACCATGTACATAATTCCAAGCCATCATTTTTCATATTTCTCATGCTTGTATTCATAACGGAAACATATACCATAGCATTAAAATATCACATGTAGCATAGGAATAAAATGCAAGTTTTCAAACATGATTTCAAAGTGGTAATTTAATCCAATTTTTGCATTTATCATCAATCTCGCCCAAAATAGATAAAAAATTTGATCTTTCTCATATCAATCAACAAATCCCAACAAAATAATGTATATTAAAGCTCATTCCCATAGAGAAATCAAATGATTAAACTAAATAAGACAATAATTATGCCTGATAAACATTTGAAATAACTTGATTGAATGCGGAGAAAATTGTCATGGCATTAATGACCCAAAGACAAATTCATGTGAACATGGTCTTTGTGCTATGGAAGCACTATTTAAGCCACCATTTCAACACGAAGCTTTGAAATTTAAATTAAATTTGATCTTTTCTCTTCATTGATCATATAGTGTTGAATGTACTGGGTACATGTTGGTTCATTTAGGACTTGTGTATGTGATAAATGGGAGTGAGGGAGCATATTGTAAATGTGATTGAATGGAAATATATAAAATTGTTGTGTTGTAGAATAATTTCGTGTGGGAAACTTTTTTTCCCAAAAAAATCATGACATATATAATCTTCGAAGGGCTTGATTCTTGAATAAAAGCTTAACATATTTTTTACTAAAGTAGTGCACCTTTTTCTAACCAGCTAGCCCTTACAACAACTCATTTCAAAACTTGAAAGAAGAAAAGTTTGTCACGATTCCATCGAAGGTGTTCTTACAGAGATGCATTCTCGTTCATTGATTACTCGGTTGACTCTTCTTCTCTCTCGCTCTTGAATCCACCTTTCTAAATTAAGCAATTTTTGTTGTCTCGTTTCATCAGTTGAATTTCACAATTTCGGAATCAGAAAAAGTATGGATATTTGTTTTGAAGAAGGCTCTTTTAATATAATTGTAGAACCCTTTTTTTTTTTTTTATTTTTTTTTTTGGTAAAACCACTTTAACCACATACATTTGGTCCTTTTTGTGAGCACCGCCTGGTTTTAAAAATGTGATCGTAATTCTCATTTTTTACAAACCATTAGGTTATTCAGTTTAAATTTGAAGGAAATGATTTTTTTTAACCAAAATTTTTCAATAATGTTAAAAGGTTAATATTTGTTGAAAATTTTGAAGGTTGAATTGATGACATTTCAGAAACTAGTGAGTACTCATTACAAAAAAGGCAAAACACACGAGAGCTAGACATATTTCTATAACCGACAGGTACTCACATAGATAGGTCAAACACCCGAGGTTTACTATTAAAAAAGAAAAAACCATTGTAGAATATATGTATTGATAATATTTTGAACATAGTGGATTAAGTTATAGTGTGAAAGAACAAAAGTGTGAAATGGATATTTGTTCTGAAAAGGGTGCCCTTGATATATTTACAAAATATAGAGGACCCACATTATTTTGAACATATAGGTATTAATTGTAGTTTGGAAGAACATAGGAGAATAATGGATATTTATATAGAAAAAGGGCTTCTTTAATATCTTTGAAGAACATAGGGGTCAATTAATACTTTGATCAAAAGGGTAACTTGATTATGTGAAGAAGAGATTTGTCCCTAAAGGGGTTCCTTTGATATTTTAGAAGAATATAGGGGTCCATTATTTTAAACCAAAAAGGGTAGTTTGATATATTTGAAAAAAATAGGGGTTTCTTTGTTATTCTGAACATAAAGGGTCAAACAAATATACACCATGTAAAAAGTACAGGGGTTCAATTAATCTTGAATTGAAAGGGCTTTTTAACAAACTGGAGGCTTAGTGATATTACTCAAGGAAGGTCGAAATTGATAGCATTACCAAATACAGGGTTCTTCCAAATATTTGTAGAATTAATGGAGCATGACTAAAATTGGATTTTAAAATCCCTAGCCCCTTTTTGTTTAGGTTGACACTATTGAAACTAGAACGAAAAAAGATCTCTTTTTTTATTTGCTCAAAGATGATTTTGTTTGTTTCAGCTGCAAATTTCTCTTGTTTTTCTTCAACCCACTGAGCTTTTGTACCAGGAAACCAATGGCGAAGAACCAATTCGAAATTGCAAACTCAAATTCAAACTCCCATTGATTGAAATTGTGGATCAGTTCTCATGTTTCGAAGCATCAATGTCGTTTCCAGAATTTTCGACCGCCAAATTCACACTCCCTCTCCCGGAACCAGCGTAAATGTTTTTGCCCAAATTTTTCTTTTCGAAATAATTGAGAACCCCTTTGCATTTTACTTCAAATGTGTATGCTTTGTAGGTTCATTGTGCTCGTCGATTCTATGAGAATTTAGTCCCAAGTTTTACCATTTATGATGTGGAATGCCCCGACCATTCGTTTCGCAAGTTCACTGATGATGGTCAATACCTTATAAGTTTTAGCAGGAACCATCAGGATTTGATTGTTTATAGGCCAACTTGGCTGTCCTTTTCTTGTAAAGAAGAATGTACCAGTCAGGATCTTCCTCCTAAAGCGCGGAGGTTTGAGAGTTTCTTCACTCAATTGTATTGTGTGACTCTTGCTTCCTGCAATGAGCTTATTTGCAAGGACTTCTTTCTTTCGGTGGAGGGTAACCAGTTCGGACTGTTTGCTACCTCTACTGCTCAAATTCATGATGCTCCTGCCACTGGAGAAGCTGTTCAAGGAGTCCCCTTTATAGAGAAAATAACATTTCACCTCTTGAGGTTTGTTTCTTGATTTTTAAATGCGACGATTTATATTTAGAAAAATATTACATATTTAGGAGGTTAAGTATAAGATATTCTTCATTTTCTTATTTATGTATATGATTATGATTAGGTTGGAAGATGGAGTTGTGATGGATGAGAAGGTCTTTCGCAATGATTTTATCAATTTAGCTCATAACATGGGAGTATGCTTGTATGATGATTTACTTGCAATTGTGTCCCTTCGGTATCAAACTATACATGTTCTACAAATCAGGGACTCTGGAAGCCTTGTTGATGTGCGGGCTATTGGTTCATTTTGTCGTGAAGATGATGAACTTTTTCTCAATTCCAATTCTCAGGTAAGATACATATCAGTTCAAGCTTTTGAAATGACCTCTGTCTTCAGCAGCTTGTGTGTTGTGTTCACTATTCAAATTCAGCATGATTGTACTGTTAAGTCTTGGTTGATTATCAATATACCCTGTCTATGTGGTTTATGACGTTATTTTAGCAGTATAACAACTCTACTTTCTGCCAGTATAACAACTCTACTTTCTGCCTAGTGATGGATATTGGTCGCTCAAATAAATTTTTTACATGCTGATTGGGTATAGAAAATTTTACCTTATTGGTTGCCAAATTATTAGAATTACTGCTATTTAGTTGATGGCTAGTGTAAATATTCGAATTGATTACTGAATCATCTAATCTGTGTTTGATGACCATAGTACATGTTGGTAATTTGCAAAAGATTATGGTCCCTCAAGACAAGCATTCATATTCTTTTGCCTAAAGACTGATGACTTGACTTTTCTTTGATGATTCCAATGTTTTTATTGTGGAATATTGTAATTTGATTGTATCTTTTTTACAATTTGAAGTATGTGGCTGCTTTGGCTTGTGTCTATTCTGTTTTGTTAATTGTTTTTGTTTGTTGCCTTAGGTTTGTATTTTAACGTGAAATCTCTTGGTTACAACTTGAACTTTTCAACATATTTACTCTATGAATCAGTAGATCTTTATACATGGCACTCAGTCTGTTTACAGAAATTAATGTTCAGAGTTTAGGGGTTGTTATGAATATAATGGCATTCATATTGATAGTTATTCATGATTGTTATGTATTTATCCATAATCTTACAATATATATAGATATATATATATATATATATATACAGACATTCATTGTTTGCTTTTTGTGGATCTATCGACCAACAAATTAGCTTCTGTATGCAGTATATGACTACTTCTGACAGAAGTAGGTTACATCACCTGCCTGGGAATAACATTGAGAATGGTTCAAATCATGACCAGCCCAATCAAGATAATCCCTTTTTGAGTGGCATCAAACAGCGATTGCTTTCATTTATATTCCGAGGAATATGGAACGAAGAAACAGATCAAACAACGGTTGGTCATTTAACTTCTTACTTTATGTTATATATGGGGTCTTATTCTTATTTCATTGGAGTATGTATCAAGTAATTACTATATAAGGGAACAAGAAAATTTATTTGGCAAATCTCCTTCAGTTCTTTCCCCATGAATTCCCCAATACAACTTGGGATAGAGCATATGATATGACAAGCCCCTAAGTTCAACACCAAATATAATCTTTGCTTCTCCCATATGCTTTTTTCTTTCTTAAATAAGAAAAGGGAACTGTTTTTCTTGGTAAAGAGGAGGAAAAATAAATCAACAGAACAAAATCCTCCTTGTGTTTTTGGAGAAGTGATCTAGGTGGACTAATACACCTTCTATTAGTTCTGACATTTCACATGTATTTTTCTGTGGAGGGATTTGTGTGCTTTAGTGAGTACTTTATGCCGTATTTTGTTTTTCTCCTTGTGAACCTAGTCTGTCTTGAGATTTTTTTATAGATACCTTTTTATGGTATGTGAGGCTTTTAAGTTTACAGTAACTTTCATCTAATCTGACTTGTAGATTTTTAAGAAATTTTAAAACATTTTTATTTTAGTGAAACTATTAATCTAATAAGTTTTTTTTTTTTTTTTATATATATATATATATATATATTTTATGACCAGAGGATCCAATGCCTTAAGAAGAAATTCTACTTCCATTTTCAAGATTATGTTGACTTGATCATCTGGAAGGTATTGGTTAACTTCTTATTTTATCCTCATATTCATATTGGTATTTCTCCCTTTACGTGAAATTTGAATATCTCTTACATATCCCTTCTATGTTTTCCGTGGCGTAGTACTGTACAGGTTTTTTTGGGGATCATCTGCAGACATAAAAACTAACAAGTTATTCAATCACAACTATTGGGCAGGTACAGTTCCTGGACCGACATCACCTGCTAATCAAGTTTGGTAGTGTAGATGCAGGGGTGAGTCATTTACTCTTTCTAGCTATGTTATAAAACCACACCTATGTGATAAGTACTGAATAGATACATATGGGGACTACCAGAATCTAGTGGCTTGAGGGAATGAGCTTCCTCATTCAATGTACTTTATAAACTCCTACTGTGCCATATCCAGATTTCAACATGATATGGTTATATGATATATGCCTTTATTGGCAATTTCCTGCTGATTACCTTTCAAACTGCTTGATACTTTGTTTATAGTTATGGATTGTGGATTCATGTATTCTTCCTTTCAAATGTTTATTAAATAGGCTACATTCTGTTGAAATTCAGTCTAAACTGTTTTATTGTCATTCTCAATATGTTGTTCATGGAATCATTGGTTTATGTGTTCATGACCATATGCTACTAAAAAATACTCACTTTTACCTACGGTTTCAAGAAGAAAATATGCTGCCAAGATTTCTTACACGTATTTAGCCACGAGGGTGTGTGGAAAGGTACCCAATTCACTGATTGTTGAGATTTTATTTTGGATCTTTAATTTCAAGCTTGTACCTCTTCACAGATTATTTTCATTAACTTGAACCCTGAAAAATCCACATTTTTGTCAGTTTACTGAACCTAAAAAAGGGATTTTTTTTAACCCCCTTGTAAAATGTAAATACAGGGGTAATAAATCTTCATGGACTTCTCTCTTGTCTTAGTCTAATACCTGATAAATTCTTCTTATACAACATGGCAATTCTACAAGCTTTTAAGAAACATATGCCTAAACAAATGAGATGAAGTTTATTGTTGTGTGTTTATCTATAAACTCTTTTTTGTTCAGTGTTTTCAGCTGGATAATTTTTGTCCTCAATACCAGAGTGTTTTTTATGAATTATGTGGTGACTGACATTTGTGATATTTAGGTATCCCGAAATGCTGATCACCATACTGCATTTTTTGTTGTATATAATATGGAGACAACTGAGGTCATTGCATTTTATCAGGTATTTATTTTTAACTTGAGTTCAATTTCTTATACTATTAGTGAACCTCTTTGGTCTTCTGACATGCATATGATTTGCTACTTCCTGTAGAACTCAGCAGATGAGCTTTACTTCTTGTTTGAGCAGTTTTGTGATCATTTCCACGCAACAACTAGAAATTCATTGTATATGAACTTCATATCATCTCACTCAAACAACATTTATGCTCTTGAGCAACTAAGGTCCATGAAAAATAAAGCTGGTAGTTCTCCACAGGTTCAGGTTTCTCTATCTTTTTTAACTTATGCTTTCTTATTCTTTCTTTTTTTTTTTTTTTTTTTCCCCCCACTCTGTTTGCATCTTCTCTATCTGACAGTCTAAACAACTGATGACAGTTTGTGAAGAAGATGCTGGCTTCTTTGCCTTTTAGTTGTCAGTCACAGAGTCCTTCCCCCTATTTCGATCAATCTCTCTTTCGCTATGATGAGAAGGTTTGATTCCTTTTCTCTTATTTATGGTTCGTACTTTATGATAGTAGATCTTTTTCATACTTATGTTACCGACTATAACTGGTACACTAAATTTCTATTTGTAGTCGAGAACAGCAGTTTGAAAGTTATGTTAGCATAGGCTTATGGGAATGGGCCTGATTATTGTCTGTATCAATTTGAGATTTGCTTCTTTTTTTTGTCAGAAGCCTGTCTGTTTTGAAGATTGACTTGACATGTATTGTCCCATCTGAAACGTGTTTTTAGGTTTTGGTTTGTGATGTTATGCAAATATTGGCTACAACAATTGTGTCATTCTATTGCATTTTTCACACTATGAGCAACCATGCAATACTCAGATTTTGATGATTTATAACCATGCTTATGTCATGTTGTTGCAGCTGATTTCTGCAGCTGATCGGCACAGACAATCGACAGATCATCCCATTAAATTCATTTCCAGAAGGCAACCACAAACCCTCAAATTTAAGCTTAAGCCAGGTATATAACTCTACCTCACTGCAATGCAATTTAAACGAATTCAGAGCAATGCATTTTGCTTCATTTCATATCCTATCTTCTATTTACATCCTTTTATGAGTTCATGCTTGAATTTGCTCTACTTTAATTGGTTAGCTTGATTTTAGATTGAGTGTATGGTATTGACGTTCCTGTTTTTATTTAGGTCCTGAAGCCGGTACTATAGATAGTCGGACAAAAAGGATTTCTTCATTCCTATTCCATCCATTTTTGCCGCTTGCGCTCTCCATTCAGCATACTTTGTTCATGCAGCCATCAGTTATGAATATTCACTTCCGGAGATGAGTTTCTTTGTACCTGCCTTTACTCATTTTCCACTGCATCTGTACATTTGATATTTTATTAATTTTTGTACATCCATAATTATACTATTAGCTCTGTGTGTGGGAAGATCTTGTAACACTCGAATGAAGATAGGAAGAAGTCTTTGTATCTTTGGTTAGGCATTAGTTTCTTCGTTTCGCCCCATTTTTTGTCGACTTTAGCAGTATGTTTTATGCTTATCTATTGGAAATTTTATGTTTATTAGCTTAAATTTGGAATATGGAACAAAACAATGGGAAATTGTATTGAGATTTGTAATATGATACCTACATAGTATTAGTCAAGCGGTCAAGTTTATGGTTTGTTCTTACATCTGCATTATCAAAAGCCATTTTTTTCACTTCTTAGTTTGGTGGGAGCTCTAGTTTCGAACTTGAGTTTGCAAAATGTATTCAGGTTTCTAAATCTTTTTATTGCCAAAAAAAAAAAAAAAAAAACGCTTTTAAAATGATAACCAGGTGATTTAATAAGCACTGTTTTAAAACCCGAACCGGACCGGTCCAATTGGGACCAGGCAACCTCTTTGGTCCGGGTTACCATTTTTCACTATTCACAAAATCTCTAATTTGATTGCTGGCAAACAGAAGGTTATCAAGTATCGAGGTTAGAGGGTTTTTGTAGAGTAGAGGTTGGTAGTTCGACGGGTGGTGTCGATTGAATTTTGGACGTGAGAATAAGCTAGAATTTGGTCGGAAAATTCAACCCAATATGCGAGTCACAATCGAGCCAGAAAAATCAACCCAATTGTGGCAGTATATACGAGTCATAGTTGGCAAATGAGGGGCTATCGAGTCTCGAGGTTAGAAAGGTTTTGTATGGTGGAGGACAAAGATTTAGGTGATGAAGTCAGATTGAATTTTGGTTGTCATAATAACTCAAAATTAGGTCGGAAAAGTCAAAATCCAAACAGATTATAGGGGTGTATTTGCTAGATTTCAAACCTGTAGGGATTGATTGTATTTTTTAGGGGTGTGTTTACAAGATTATAAATTTTTTGGATCACAAGTAGGTCGTTAGTTTAATCAGGCGAACTGGTCAACTTGGGACTCGGTAGCCTTATGGGGTCTAGTTTTAAAACAATGTTAATAAGACGAGTGGTACATTTTAGGGTTTGGTACTCAAAGGTCCAATGACTTATATTTATTCTTTTCACATGTGTGACACCAAGGTTCCGAAAATCGGACTAGGCCTTGACTTGGTCAAGGGCTTGGTTCTTCGGTTAATTGGTCTGATCAGTCGGATGGACAGGTGACATCAACAACAAAAATATTTTTAAAAAATTCAAAATTAGTCCCTAAAATTTTAAATATTGAAAAATACCTTTAAAATTTTTTAATTAGTCCCTAAAATTTTAAGATATTGCACAAATGCCCCAAAAAATTGAATTAGTCCCTAAAATTTTGAAATATTGAAAACATCCTTAAAAATTACAAATGAGTCCCTATAAATTTGAAGTCTAATAAAAAAAACCCCCTGAAACCTGAACTAGACTGCAGAGGCTGTCAATTCTCGGCCGGAGTGGTCCAGTTCGGATTTCAGAACACTAGGTAACACTCTTAATTGTCTAAAGTACCATCATGTTTGGGGGCTTTTAACTCAACCATCGAAGTGATTCAACAAGATGAGTAGGTGTGATCAGGTCTAGGTACCTTAGATTTTTTGAAGGAACCAGAACCAGCTTGTTCCTAAAATATGGAACCAAAACAGTTACAAATGATCCATATTAGTTTAAAAAATTATAAAAACACCCTTGAAAATTACAAATACGCCCCTATCTGTTTACAAAAATTCAAATACAGTCTACAATAAAAATAACAAATATTCCAACTTCCAAATGTTGTTCCTAAATTTAAAATTACATAACATTTTAAATATAAATAACATAACAACATCTCATTAACAATCTTTTGAAAATGTTGCCACATATAAGACTTGATAAGTGGCTTAGTAAATCCCCAAAGAGTTGATGTCACCTCTATACGAATATAAGGCATCTCGAAACTGTCATCGCTATTTAAAGACATTGTTCCTGTAAACATAGAAATGAAGATATTATGCACTATTAACTTTATGTGAAAGAGAAATTAAATCACAACACATTAACTTGCACAACTTCTAATTAGATATACATGTATAAAAAATGCAGTCCAAAACAAGAAAAGTCAGTCACACACACACATACATAGTCATTAATTTTCATTGCATCAATTTAAAACTATGTGAACTCATACACTTGATTTGATTTGTTGGTTAAGTAAGTAGGTGCAAATTGTCTAATTAAAGAAATAAAGGCATGTGACCCACCAATTACGACCAATTATTGTATTTATATCATGAAATTATAAAGGTTATAAATACCTTCTTATAATTTGGCTTAAGTTTATACGAATCTATATCCAATTTATATCTCGAATCCAACATAAGTGTTACAGTCAAAACTCCATGAATACTACTCCATAGAGTTGCATGATCAATGTTGTTCTAAGTTTACAAATCACTATGAAAATTAATTTGTTGTTAAATACTCACTACCCAGAAACATAAATTTGCGACGTTAATAAATAAATAATTATAATTTGAATGTATTCTTAAAATTCAATGACCCAAAAAATACAGTACAAACAAGAAATTAAATCATGGTTTTCCTAAACTTAGTCCAACCGTTTCTTTCAATTTTCAAGAAATCAAATCAATGTACAATATTCAAAGATAACAGGAAATAGAATACGAAAGTACAGTGAAATCTCTCTCTCACAAATTCACAATCATTACGCCAACAAATCTAGCCAAGAAATCAAAAACTAAAAAAGAAATATAAAGCGAAAAGAATTCGTGGCAAACCTGTTGAAGTGCAAATTAAAGTCTCGATAGAATTAGGGAGGAAGAACAGAGAACAAGACTTGCGACGCCCAATAACAAAGAGGCATCGGAGATTCGAATAACAGGAGAGAATGGCACTAGAGACCGACGAATGGGAGAGAATGGCACTGAAGATTGACAAACAGCAAGCTGTAGTCGACGGAGGGAATATACTTTCTAAAATTTTTCCTAAAATTATAAAATAACAAACCCTAAATCAGATTTCTTTTTTTATATGTACAATTACAAAACGCTCCCATATTTTAACGAAATTTTTGAGTCCCGGATCCACACCGGTTCCTAACAAGGTACCCAAACCTAGGTTCTGTTTTCGATTCGCAATTCCTACAATTTACGAACCGAACCAGAACCGGAATTGGGGAGGCTTGATTCTAATTCTTAAGAACCAAAACCTACCATGTTAGGATCGGCTCTGGTTCTACCATAAATTTCAGCATACCCCTAGAGACGAGGGTACGTTTGGCGTTGGCTAATTCAAATAGCGTCACAAAATACAACTTACTAGAGTAGGACTTTGTGAAATTATATTAAAATGAGTAAACAACATTTTCCCACCCGCGGTTTGGCGAATTTGCAAGTTCCCATCCCTGTGTCATAAATTGCAGATTCCCACCCTTAATTTAGCACGGTTACTTTTCTCTCAAAATAATCTTTACATCTCAGATTTCTCTCAAATAACCCCCAGGGATTCCGGTCAAGCCAAGAATCCATCTTGATTCTAGTGCCATTGGACCTCTCCGACACCACCATCAGCATCCCCTTATCCTCCTCACCAAAACCCCCAACTTTCCACCTAATTGCACCTCGACGAGGTGCAGAATTGGGCTGGAAATGTGCGACAAAATGCGAAAATCTAAGGGAGAGGCGGCGACAATCGACGGCCAATTGCGGTTGGCGATGTTGGGGGTTTTGATGGGGGGGAAGCCGGTGATGCTATTAGTGGTATTGGGGGTGGTTTCTAGTGCCAAGACCTACCATAATTTGAATGAAACATTGATTGAAACTAAGAGCAGCGGCCGGTAATTGAGGGGGTTCAATCAAGCAGGGATGTTAAGGGCTTTAATGTAGGGGTTGAGGGGATTGTAATGGTGGTGTCGGGAGAGGTCGACTGCACCGGGAATAGGCCGGAATGGCCTGAAATTGTCGATGGGGTGAATTTAAAAAGTCAAGGGTTATTTTAAAATTTTTCGGTGGAGTGAATTTGAGAAGTGATGGGTTATTTTGAAATTTTCATCTTTGAAATGACCATTTTACCCTTTTAACTTTTAGATTAAATAGTTATCTAGTAATTTAAGGACAGGAATTTGCAATTTATGAAACCAAAGGTGGGAACTTGCAGATTCACCAAACCTAGGGTGGGAAAATGTTGTTTACTCTATTAAAATTATGAAAATATCCTTCAAAAAAAATGAAAAATGTGTACACAAACAATAGTAATGTAAATTAGAACCATTAACATATTACATTTTATTGTTTTTATAATACATTTCTCATTATTCTTTACAATAGTATTTTCATAATTTCAATATAATGTCTAAGTCAATTAACGATATATTGAGTTAAAAGATCGAAATACGAGTACTTCAAATAAATATCCTTAATTGTTAATATAACGAAATCACGTGGACGAAAATATGATTTTTCAGTTTATGCTCTTACCTAATATATGAATATACCAAGAAAGACGTAGGATCTAATGAAGCTATTATGAAATATATACTCATAGGTGGGGCAAGCTCTTCTATTCTGATTCATGGTTTCTCTTGGCTATATGGTTGATCCAGGGGAGAGATCGAGCTTCAAGAAATAGTAAATGATCTTATCAATACCTAAATGTATAACTCCCTAGGAATTTAAATTGCGCTTATATTCATCATTGTAGGAATTGGTTTCAAGCTTTCCACAACCTCCTTCCAATACTTACACTTGATAGTTAAGTTACACAAAACATGAATCAAACCATTGAAATTCAAGAAGATGAGAATAGTTTACTCGAATAGAGTTTATTACAAAAATACTAACTTACATTTAATTGTTCTTATACCGTATACTGAAACCACGTGTTAGAAAAAGAATTCCCTATTTTATCCAATAATATACAAAACATGAATCACACACAAATTGACCTACACTTGATAGTTAGGTTACTTCATGCCCTAACTCAACCATTGAAGTGATTCAAGGAGATGAGAATAATTTATTCAATTAGAATTTATAAAAATATCGGTTTTATATTTAATTTTTAGTATACTAAAACCACATGAACGAAAATGAAATTCATTCTTCATCCAAAACATGCCCAAATTGACTTATACTTGATAATTATGGTAT